ACACCATTTTTGGCAGGATGCATTTTCTAGTGAAAAGACACCGTCATGGGGCTGCAAACATGTGCTCAAAGGACACGGGAAAGACACCGCTTGGACGCCGACGTTTGGTTTCGCTTCCGAACGGCGGTGAAACCGCCTGGTGAAACCGCCTGGTCACAACAAAAGCGCCGGGAAAAGAGGCCATAACGGCCTGCCCTTTTGCTTGAAAGGGCAATTATTTGTGCCGTTTCGAAGATCCAGGTATATCTCCTACGGTCCCAAGAATCTTACCTGTACTCGGTTTTACATATGCGAACTTTTCCGCATAAAGAACATGTTGAAGAACACACCTTTCCGCGTTTGATGCGTTCGTTTGCCTGAATGATGGTGTCCTTTTCGCGAGTTATTTTGCTAGCGAGTGCAGTGTAAACACATACACAAACGACGATTTGCAAAAGTGGAGTCTTTGACCGGCCAAACTTATGCCGGGATTGAACCGAACCTTTTTTCTGGGTTCAGGAGTCAGTTTCAGCCTGAAGGAATTCGTTGGTATGGCAGCCTGCTTGAGGCTGTGTTAAAGAATTGTAACATGTTTGTTTGTGCCCATGCTGGAGTTTGCTGCCTGAAGCATGCAACTTCAAGATGTGTGCTAAGAGGTCTTCTGGTGTTGCGCTCTTGACCAAAAAGATGTAGTCCTACATCACAGAAGGTGATTGTATGCAGTGGAAATGCAGGATTGCCTGGGTGTTTGAACAGCACGAGTGCAACAGCAGCAGTGAATCGAACCTTCCCATTCACTGCTGACATCTTCCAATCTTCGTGACAAAGGAATCTGATTTGGCAGACAGCTCGTAGTTGGCAAAGTCCACCCTCCGGATTTCACGTTCGTCCAGACTTTCCAAATCAAGTTTGCAAGGAACACGACAAGCACTCCTGCGTGCGAGATGAGGCTTTGTCGTGTTTACTTGGCTCAAGCCTTAGTTTTGGGTGTTTGGTACCAAAATATTGAGCCTACACATGTGTAGCGTTTTTGTTTCTTCCCATGCCGGAGTCTTGGAAGGGGCTCCAGCTATTGCATGTCAGTCAATTGGAGTCAGGAGCTGACACTAACAGAGCTAGGGTAGTTGTGTTCCAAAGGAAAGCACACGCTTACATGTGCCCTTCAAGGATTGGTTGCCAAGATGCCACTTGCCGAGGTTTGTATAGAAGGGCTGCTTGTTTTGCCTTCTTGACCAACAAGAGGCACTGTTGCCGACCCGGTGTTGTACAGCGGAAATGCCAGATTATATATGGGTATCAGTGAAGCTTCAGTGCAACAGCAGCGCTCGATCCACAATTCCAGGCGCTGCTGCTTACACCTTCCAATATTCGTGACAAAGGAATCTGATTCGGCAGACAGCTTGTAGTTGGCAAAGTCCACACTCTGGATTTCACGTTCAGGGGCCAGACTTTCCTCATCAAGTTTGGGAACAGTAGCAATTCTCGGGTATGCGGTATGCACCAATGTACGCCCAAGATGATGGTTTGTCCTTTTCACCTGACTCGGCTCAATCCATGGTTTGGATGCTCCATCGCGTGTAAAAATGACATTACAGCCTTCTTTGCAGCGGTATGCTGGAATCGCAGCTTGCTTGCACCAATAGCAAGCTATATCAAATTGTCAGAGTCGGATGACATGCCTTTTGTCTCAAAGTTTTCATAGCTTGTCCCGAAACGGACACCTGCAGTTTATCAGCTTGCGAAAGAGGCGTTCGATGTTCAATTTGTTGCTGACATGTCAAGCCGCGTCCCCACTATGCGCACGATGCTGAGCAAATCTCTTGGGGACAAACTTCTGATGACCTTCAACCAGAAAAGCTCCAAGCCGAGCAGCCGAGCTGTCATTTTTCTGCGCATGTATGTCATGGTTGTGCATCTTGATGTGCGCAGCGATCGTTGAGACCGTCGAGACGGTGCTTTTCGTCAAATGCATCGATGCAGAGTCGTCATGGACGTCTGGCTGAGACGGCTTGGAACGAGTCCGTAAAAACGCGGTCGGTTCCCAGCCATATCTACAGTGACACTGCTGTTTGAGCAGGTGAATCAACCTGCTCATTCCCCTGACCCAACACAATGCTTTAAAGATCCAAGATGGCTTGATACAGTGCCTGCCCCAAATGTTTGAACCTGTTCTCGTCACATGACTGTCCATTTCCACGCACCTGATGTAGCACGTATAGACTTATATGTCGACCTGATGCCGGGCCTGGACCCGAAATCCAGTCGACCTGAGGTGAAGAAATGACAGGAAGTCATATGTGAAGTCAACTCTGAGCCAAAGAAAGCTGAGAGGGACTACCAGCCACAAGGCTGCAACCTGTGGAGTCTCTCCGCTCACCCTGAGAGGGTCATCTTCCGATCCGCTGGAGAAGAGATGGGCTCCGAGGCTTCGGAAAAAGCAAACACGATCCGCTCGCAGTCGAACCGAGAAGGCACCGTTTTGCTGTACTGGCACGTTTGGATAGGGTCTCCTGCTGTGGAACCTTTTTTGAGGCGGGGGGATTCTGACTGTGAAAGAGATCCTCCAACCAATAGGTTTTGGTTTAGTTCTCTTCTTTTAGGGTCTCTTTGCGAGGTTTCCCTATTTCAATACACATGCACTCCCCGAATCTTCCTCGGAATGAAGCCACAGTCTTCACTTCAAGTCTCCTCAAGAAGTATCCAGCAAGATATCGCATCACACACACATATCACAAATCGCAGGTGTTGCACCAGATCTTATCCTGTTTCAGTTGCTATGTCGAGAGATTGCTAGGCCCGTCGCTATGTCGCGAGTGCGACATGGAAAGTGAAGAGAGATGCCGCGATGCCCAAACATGTCGCAATACTCCGCATAAAGCGCGAAAGGAGGTTGCTCCTTTGATGTCCAAACAACCACCTGGAAGCAAATTGTGCATTCTATACGCTGGAAGCACTTGACGTAGCTTTGGATCATACAACTACATTTTTCAGTCTAAGACCACAAGGCTGGGGACCCTCCAATGTGATTTGCTCCTGCTTGCCCCATTTCATCTGGGCCAGCTTCTTCGGATTCTTTGGAAACATGGTTGCCCTCAAATGAAGAGGGTTTGCAAAGATTGAAATCCGTATTCATATACCTGATCTTCCCTTGCTTCCATCATTCCACCCTTTTTGTTCGCAGGTTTGCGCAAGAAGATCTACCTCCCGGCCACTCGCTCCTCGCAGCACATTTGTGGCTCAAAGTTGCTGCAGAAAGAAACTGCTGAACTCAACCAGTGCATGGAGCTGAACGTACAGGACCAATTGAACCGACCCCGGAACCGAAGGCGTTCAGGCGGAACTGGGGGTGTAAGGCGTAAGGCTTCGGTCATAGCCCTTGGAGTTTCGATTGGTGGGAAGATGAAGAATGTGAGGAAAGGAGTTCTGACTCAAGATGTTGCAAATCATTTGGTTCTTCACCACACGTGTTTGGTATTAGACCCACTCTCCTGAAACACCGGAAGAGCCCACAGCGAAGGATGACAATTCCCAGCTAGAGTTCCGTCCAACAGAGAGTTTCACCATGTTTCACCATCTGATGATTTGTCAAAATGGATTGACCACCCTTTGTGGTGTTGGTGTTTCCGCTGAAGGTTGACATTGACATGTGGTTTATAAGATCCAAAGCAGGTTCCAACTATGGTTGACTGGATGTCAGCATAGTGTGGGACTATAGTATCAGATGTCTATGGATTTCCCAAAGAAACGAAGACGACCTGGTCCGCGGGGTCCGGGCAGGTGTGACACCAAGGAATCGTGGAGTGTTTGACCTTTGCCCCCAAAAGCACACTTGCGGTAGTACCTGCGGTGGGTTTTGACCTCTTTGGAGAGAAACATCATATGCTTCACGATTTTCTGAGGAGGTCACCAGATGTTCACCTAGCGATACCTAGCATAGAGTAGGCTGGGGCTGGGCGGGTTGATTTCGTTGATTTGACCGGTCTGCTTCGGCTTTGCACCTTGACGTTTGACGTTTGACGTAGGAGAAGAGATGCAATGGCAGAGCCTGAGTCCCACGAGTCGAACCTTTGGCCGCCAGCGCATGGGATGGGCTCGTGGGCGTCGGCTTTCAGACTGGAGAATTCGTCCATGGATTGGGTGGGAAGAATCGATGGTCCAAGCCATGGATTGGAGCAGGGAGAACCCAGGGTCCACTGGCTTCAGAATCGATCCATTGGGTCAATGGTGGGCATTCCAAGCATGGATGCCCGGTATCGAAGACCATTTCAAACCAATTCTGGACCAGATCCATTTTCCGGGCATGGAATGTGCCAAAGCATTTTGCATGGATTCCATTTCCAGTCAACATCGATTTTTCGACTTGACTGACGGCTTGACTGACGAACATGATCACGCGACTTCCGATGGAATTTACACCAGCCGCCAGGAGTCATGGAAGTTCCTGCTCACACCCCCAAAGCTGAACTACGACTTATAACTTATACCTATATAACTGGATTGACTAAATTTGACAAAATCAATCTAATTACTTTGAATGAACCTGGAGTCTTGCTGCCATCTTACGATGGAAAAGCACCTGAAAACGTCCAAGTTGAACAACTAAAATTCGAAGAATCCTGCCACCTAAACCGTGCGCTAAGATCCTTCGGTTAGAGTGGAATGGGCCGCGTCCAGGACGCTTTGACTCCGAAGCCCTGGACCCTCCGTTTTCCACCATGGCCTGGTGAAAAAGCACCAAAACGGTGGACCAAAGAGGCCCCAATGTTCGGTCCTCAGATCCTCTACCCACTGTGACAAGTGGGTGGAACATCGGAAAATCCCAATCAACTTCAGTTGGCACATGCAACAAATGCACCACACCGGCCCCCACTTTCGGAATGGGTCTCCCAGATTCTCACTCCAAGGAAGGGATCTTTGGTCTCCAGAACCTCTTCCGACCCGGATAGGCTCTGGGTTTCACCCACACGAAGACGCGAAAACGACGGTGACGAAACGTCGCTGGTGACGGGGATGGGTGACGCATTGGAGACGGGTCGGGAAGCGAAAGACGTGGACCAGCGAGCGCAAGGGAAGCGGGGTAGCACGAGAACGACAACCGTGTTGGTAGCTTCATGGGTTCGTCTAGGGATGAAGGTCGGTTTCAACTTGCGCAACTGCGAAGATACATGAATGGATATGATAACCATTGAAAACCACAGATTTTCGGCATTACCTTGAATCGCATGGACAAACCGCTTCAAATCTCAATATGTGAAGATCGTCAGCAGCTGGCAGCCAGCTGTTTATGAGAGCCTTCCGAAGGCACAGAACCAGAGGGCCAGGTATGATGCCATGCTGATCCTTTGGCGTTGCTGAGCCGTTTGGCATGTGCGGGTCATTTACTTCCCAGACACTCCATGTATACCGTATATGCCTACATTGACCCCCAAAACCACCCCAATGTAGGTAAATATACCATACATGGAGTGTCTGGGCTCGGTACCTTTGAATTGCATAGGAGATAGAAACTTTAATCCATTGGAAACACATGAAGGAATTTGGTTTTCTATAAATCTATTATTCTATCTTGGCATATTTGGGCCACTTGGGGCCCCAATCTAAGCACAAAAGTCCCAAAAGGCACCACGTGCACAGACGAAGTCCGAAGAAGAAGAAGAAGAAGCCCTTGCACCACCTATTTGCAATACCATGGTGTTTCCTCGAGAAATTCCTCCCACACATCTCTGAACAACAATTTGACCCCGTTCTTCCCGGGGACGGGTCATCAGACTGGTCATTTTGGGTGGATCAAGATGACCAAAAAACGATCTCCACTGGCTCCCCTTCAGGTGGTTGAAACCTTACAGAATGACAGAAGTTGTTGGCGCTTGTTGGAGGGAACCAATGCCTCTCCCAGCAGCTCAGGGTCTTATCTTTTCCAACCCAGTCTCAGTGGACCTGCAAAACTGTTTCTGGCAAGTGATTTCTCCACTCAACATGAACCTGGTGGAAGGTTTGGTGAAGTACGGTGAACCTCTTCGGACACTGTGGATTCTGTGTCGTGTTCGCTTTATCGGTTGGTGTCGTGTTCGCCCATGGTGCAGAATCGATGAGACGACACTCAATGCAGCGTTGCCAGAGCCCCAGACCGGCGAAGAGACGGGTGCGTGTCGCGTGTCGCTTACCACTTGGGTGTGTCTGAAGATAGGGAGACCATCCCAGGCAAAGACCTCCTGGAAGAAGGAAGATAGACCGAAACCGCCTGCTTGATACCAAGTATGGCACTGCCCATCCAACACAGATGGCACTGCCGCAGAAGAAACGACCCTACGATGAATCCCAACACTCCTATCCTCACAAAGAAGCGTTTCCATGGGCTCAGTGACCCCCATTGACCTGCCAAGTGGCCCAAGTGGATCGCACGGACCGGCATGAAGGTTTGGGTGTTGAATGGTGTTGATGGACCCGGGAAGTTTGGATCTCAAGCCAAGAGCAGAGCTTTAGAACATCCTTCCACTCCTTCCACTTCCACATCTTTGACCAACGACCCACATTAGTTGGGCCTGAGTCTCCATGGAAGAATTCGGGGCGACGCTCGTCTCGTCGTCTTCAACCGCAGGTTCTTCACCGTGAAGCCCAGCGAGCTGCGGATTTTATCGGTCTTGGGTTCTGGTGCACATGCCAATGTGTACCAGGCCCACGGTCCGTGGAGTGTCTGAGTGGAGTGGATGTCGAACCTGCGAGAGACCAGTGGACGACATTCTCGACGGATTTGAGCCGAGAGACGGATCGTGTACGTTCTGAGAGACCAGTGCTGGGCTTTGGTCTGAAGACCCCACTTCGATGAAGGACCCTCGACGTAGCTAATTTTTTGGTATGTCGAAGATCGAGGGTCGAAGAAGCCATGAATCAAGCCTTCACCAGGATGCTTCCCGGCATTTTTTTCGTCCGCCTGGACCGTACCGCCATGAACCGCACCGGGATGAACTGCACATGAACCATGAACCATCCAAACCGCACGATCATCGACCCGGGAGGCTGAATGGACCCGGACCTTTGCAGCTGGCACCAGCTCCATCATCGTTGTGCCTCGGTGGGATTCCGGGCCAAGCACTCGGAACGCTGCGAGCTTCGACTGGCGGGAAGGGAAGAAAGCCCACACTGGGAACACATCCTGATCAGCTCAGTGGGGTGGGTCCCGGACTTGGAATGGTCAAACAAGCTGCCTGGAGCCATGTTGGCTCAACGAGCTGCGACATGTTGGCTCGGGAGGTTCTCAAGACGGCGAGTGTTCAGATCAGTTTTCTACCAAGCAACGACCACAAGAGGAAGACACATGGGTTTTGGACCTCATTTCAAGAAGCTTGCGCATCGTTCTTGATTCGAGCATGAAAGGCACAGTTGATGTGAAGCATGCGTGATCTCAGACGACTTCCGTAACCAGTTTGGACCTTCCAAATGGGGGCGGTTGACCTGTTTTGACCCATAGCGGCAACGAAGGCACCACCCTTGGAAGGTCCAGCTTGAGGGTTTGTATTGAATGTGTGGCCCCTGGCCCGGCCTGCCCCCTGTTCAGGCACATCCTTCTCCCCATGTCACCCATCCCAATTTTTGTTTTTTTTGACGGTATCCAATTCCAAGAAGCCCTCTTGAAACCGCTTCGCTCGGTATAGATATCCCTGGAGTCGACCCATTCACAACCTCAGAATATGGGTCGCACCTGTGTTGATGGGGTTGTGTTCCAAAAGATTGTGTTCCTGTGTTTATTGGGTATATGATGTTTATAGGGTCCTTGATGGTCGTCTCTGACTCCGATTTGCATCGCTTCTTCATCGAACGAGGCGGTGAAGCAGTTGCACACCGACCTGGGTCGCAAAGCTCAGATTCTTGTTGAGCTTCGGCAGGTCTCATGGCTTGGGGCTTAAAATTCCGACCATGGTATAGTTCTGTAGTGGTCCCCAAATAGATAGAAATGGTTTGCAATAGCTTTTGGGGGTATATATACTGTACCAGTTAGCATCCATTTAAGACTTGGAACAAAATAATAGTAAGACTCTTAGACAGGGTCTTGCCTTTTTAGGACCAGTTGTAGGTGCAACAATGGCATTTAAAATTAGGAACCAAAATTTAAAGTGAAAGGAAACATGGGCAGACATGGGCATGGACAGACATGGGCAGATAGAATCTTGACGTGTGCATGGACAGACAGACCATAGCCTGCTCTTCACAGACACGGACCATAGCCACTTTCCTTGGGTACATCGGTTTCGATTTGACCATGTGACAGACCCTACGACCTCACACAGAACCTGGGAGTGAGAACATCACAGCGCAGCGTTTTGCTGTCTGATCCCCTCTACAACTATATATATGTAATTAAATATATATATATATACTATATATATATATATATCTACCAGGACCCTCCAACAGGCTGTTTGGAGACCCCAACAGGTGGTTTCTGGACATCTGTTGTCACCAGGAAACACCTGTTGGAGGGTGCTGGTATAATATTGTCTATATAAGCTATAGCCTTTTTTGGTTCCAAACCGCAACCGGTCCTTTTTTCGGGTGCCTCTCGTCCGCCCTCGAGCTTTGGCTAGGTGAGGTTTATCGAAACAGAGAGCGGCTCACGATGCTGACGGACCCGAACACCGCGAGACCGTTTGCTGTTTTTTTCGCTTGGGATTCTGCAGGAATCTGCTCGGGATGTTTTCTGGGTGTGATTGAAATGTTGATGTTATTGTTTTTCGTAGCAATTCTTCTGTGGGTCTTCCGAAGTGTCCCAATTTGCAAGGTTTGGGATGGTTTGGGTTTTGGTTGTGAAGTAAATGATCCGTTTGGTTTTGGATGGCTTGATCCAATGGCAGATGATACCAGTGCCAATTGCCAGTAGGTTGCAGTTGTCGCGCTTTCGTGACAGGAGATGTGCCTGGAGTCTAAATTAGACTCAATAGACACATGTTTGTGCGCATGTTTCTTTCGTTTGTGTTGGCCTCAATGGCAGCTGTGCTCCCAAAAGCTGCGCATTCTCACGAGATGTTGCTCTTCAGAACCCAAACCAAGCTCCCTCCATGCGGTTTTCCGGCGGGTTCCGGGGGAGCATGTGGACCACCACCAGGTGGTTTGACCATCGTCCCACTGTCCAGAGGGTTTGATCATGGGAATTGCTCCGGCATGGACGCATGGAGGCAGACAAACCGTGTAGCAGCATATGCTTGTAGCATTACGTAGGCATGGCTGGCGAGAAACTTGGTTGGGTGGGCCAGGCCACCAGCTACATCCCGGTCCATGTCATTGAGTTGTTAGAAGGGTGAGAATGTTGCTGCATGTTTGATGGTGTCATGTGGTTAGTAACACTGCCACCACCTTGGCAACTCCCCGCATCGGTGTCAGCCGATCGGTACATGTCTCACCCACCATGTCTCACCAGGTCTCCGCTCCGAACTCGAGTGAAGTGCAATCCGACGTTCTTCACTCTCGTGATGTGCGCAATCCGCGTATATATCCGCCTCCGTTTGGCAGGACCATCCCAATTTAGTAAAGTGTGTGGATTCGACGCGCGGGGCCCAGTGGCGACCGAGACTGTTGGCTTCCCAGATCCAGAATAACATCGGATTGATGTCCCAAAGATGCTACTCAAATACTTTGCCCTATTCTATGTAACTTTAGAATCTGACCCAAGTTTTCTGTGAGATGTCACGGAGTTTCCACAGATAGGTTCCTTGCAAACGAGGTTCCCCGCGAGGTTTGTGCATTGAACCCAGCAGGTTCATTGAAGATTCGTTGCCTAGTCCTTATGCCAAGAACTCATCAATGCTTGCTTCAAGGATTTCTTTAAAGTGACTTGAGTGGAAGATAGTCATGACACATCATGACGATATCATTCCTTTCCGGTATGTGGCCGGTTTTTTCAGGAATCTCCCGGCCGTCTCGTCTCCTGTACCGAGACCCGTCGACCTGACGACGGGACGACCCGATCTCGGTGGTTGAACGTATTAAGCGCGCGCCGCGCAGAACGACCTGGTTCGGGTGGTTGGACACCTGGAGGAGTGGAGGATTGGGCGATCACAGCAGGTTTTAGACGGTTCAACGGGGCCGCTGGACCAACAGCTGCTGGAACTGGCAGAAGGTTCTGAGGCTTTGGACTTTGTGGCTTTTGATACCCCCCATGGTTTTGAGGGACCAAGATTGCTGAAGACTGCCTCCTGTGGTGGCCATCAAGGCTAGAGCCGCCTTACCTCATCATCACGGAGTTTTTGGCAGGCACCACGGGGGGGGGACCTGTGGTGTTTTGGGCCGCACGAAAACGACCGTGTCGCTTGAGAACACCGGGCCGATCCGCCAAAATGCTGCGGAGTTCGCTCAGCTCCCCTCTCCCAGCATCCGACCATTCCCCGACCCCATCCCACGACCGAGGTGTCCCGTCTTTCGGCAGGAAAGAGAAAAACCGCATCATGCGTGGCCGGTCTCGCGATCGCCGGCGATCGAACTCGAAGTCGAACGCGTGGCGAACGCAGGTGGGAGCCTTTTCGATTTGCTCTACAACAGTCACTGGGCCGCAGAAACACGCCCATGAACGCATGCGTGGTGTTGTTTGTTGTTTTGTTTTGTTTTGTTGTGTTTTGTTGTGTTTGTGTTTGTGTTTGTGTTTGTTTGTCTGTCTGTTTGTCTGTCTGTGTGTGTTATGTTTTTTTTGTGTATTTTTTTCCTGTAGGAGACATCCATCGGAAGTCGGTCTCTGTTTTTTGACGTGGATCGCCGGAACTTCATGGGGCATGCTGGCCTGGGCCTCGAGGCCTCGAGGCTTCTTCTCCTCTGCTCTTCGGGTTTTGGGAGTGTCGATGTCTTCGAAAATGACTAGCAAAACACATGTTCAGACCGTTGACGGTGGGGGAGGGGCTGGATCCACATCCTGGAGAACAGGTGGGGTCATGGATCTCACTGGCGACCTGGAACCCCAGAAATGGCAACGTGATGACTTGATAGCTGCGCGGTTGTTGATAGTGGCCTTGGGTCATAACCGAACCGTGGTTGACCGAGAATGAACAGAATAGACGACCTACTGGAGGTCAACCTACCAGGGTAAAAGGGGCTCCGGGTTTTCACCCACAGCCATTTTTTGATGATTCTTCATCATAATTGACCCTGTAGTCTATCCTTACATCGATCATTTCAAAAGGCGGAATCAGTAAGGGTTTAGATTAAGGCCTTTCAACATCAGTAACTTGCACACAAGATGCCACAGAAGACCAACAAGTGCAACAAGCTTAACCTGCTTTTTTGTTTAAAACATCATATAATAATTACTTTTTAAATGCAGGACATAACACTAGATTCGATGCAAAACACAGTCAACTTCCCCACACGTATATGCAATTATATGTAGAAGGACACAATCAGAGGTTGACGTTTCACCACGGTTTCTCTTCAGTTGGATATAGGTCCGTTTTCGAGGACACTGAAGTTTCACGGCTGCGTGTGAGGTTCTTAAAGGCTCGTAAAGATGTCCTATGATGCTATTGGTCCTTGGACGCTTGTTTGGTTTGATTGTCACACCAAAGATCCATTGGTCCATGTGTGAACCCTCACATCTCGGACAACGGACCATCATCTCCACTGGCGTGTTTTGAGAAGTTCATGAGCAAAAATAATTCCACATCATTGGCCTGTTTCTACTGGTCGGTTCATTGGGAAACTGTCGTCAGTCGTGCACCAGAAAATCGCCGACCGTGGGCCCCCCAGTCAGCGCCCCAAGCCGGCCATCCTTTCCGATGTCGACGGCCATGTGGCCGAAGAGCATCCGGAGCAGCCGGAGCAGCTCAGTTCTGAATTCCACAATGATTGCAGGCAGTTTGAATTCTAAGCTTCCAAGACAGAATGGTTGACCAGGTCTTGCTTCGAAACAACACTGTAGATCCATGGTTGTTTTGGGACACACCATCATCCAATGATGGCTTTAACTCATCATGATGGCGCTGGTCCCACGTTAAACTGGTCAGGGCATGCACGCTCACGTGTCAGAGTCTCACAACAAAGCATCAGAGCCTAAAGAACCATATCCAGCATCCCAAGTGTAAGTGTATGTGCTCTTAGATACCAAGCCATGTGTGAAAATACCAAGCTCCTCAGACTCACCATTGAACTGACCCAGTTTTTGTTCAATGAATCGCTCCCAGGCTCACAACAGCTGTCAATATGGCAGCAGGTCAAGGCCTGGACGACAGTCTCTACTCCCATGGGGTTTCCATCGGAGTGGATGCATGATGGTCCCGAGTTTTTGAAGCAGGCCTCAGCTTGGAGCAGGCCTCAGGTAGGTGTTTTGAGTGTTGAGTGGTTTTGTTGAAGCTGTTTGCAAGTCGGTTCCTTGTGCCCTTGGTTGGGATTTTCCAAACTTTGCTTGTGGACTGGCCAGTTTGCACCTATGTGAGTGTATATATATGTTTACGTATGTTTATATACTCTATAGATAATTGAAGTGGTCGGGGTCCAAAGAAAGGGTCCAACGAATGATTGTAGATGAGCAAGCGTTCACTGAATTGTTTGCTCAGTCCTGTTGTTTCTTGTTATTTTTTTCCGACTGGTTTTCAGTCGATACAAGATCGTCAGTTGGAGAGTTGAATGAATAAAAGCACGTAACTTGAATCTAGGGATGTAAAACCGCCTAGAAACTGCCCGGAGCCAAACATGTTTTGAAGAGGTATTGAGGAGACTCACTGTACGCTTGCAAGGGGGGGCATCAAGTAAGTACTTGTACAAATCGTAAAGATAGTTTTAAACATTCTGTACATCCCGTTTTTGAGCCCTTTGTTGTGCAGGCAGATGTTTTCTATATTCTGTGGAAAGAATTTTGATCACCTATTATTTGTCAGGAAAACCAGAAACCCTTTTGCTGGATGGGGAGTGTCCTCTTTCGCCCGCTCCGAATGTTGCAGATCTTGCTGGACATTGCCAGTGGTATGAGGTGAAGAGACAGGGACTGGAGCGGGTGATGGGCCGTGGGGATCTCAACCATCAGGGTGGGTAGAACCGGAACCCACCAAACGCAGTGACTGCAAATAGAGAGGGATATGGTGATATCCTCCAGTTGCACATACCTTGCAGGTGATGCAGGACTCTTATTAGGTCACTGGTACTTCAGTGCGCCATTGACCAGAGTGGTGAGTGGTCCAAATTGAATGCTCTGCTGGGAGTTCTTCTGGGCTATTTGGAAGGTCCAAATCTGCAGAACACGACAGATGCGGCAGATCTTGGCTAGACAGATGCAGACTGCCCACATGTTCTCCAGAGACGCGAAGAGACGCGAAGGTCCGAAGGTCTTGTCAAAGGAAACTGCACCCAGACCTTGTTGACCTTGTGGGGGGGGGTTGATTAATCCTATGTCGACATTATGGGAATGTGTCATGAATGAATAGATTGGCATGCTTTTTGATCCATGTTGATCCTGTTCTCTTTCTAGAGCCACAGCACTACAGCTGAAATTGACCAGCGGGGCAGAGTCGAAAGGATTGTGTTTCGTGTTGTAGATTGTGTTGTAGATCTATATACCAGCACCCTCCAACAGGTGTTTCCTGGTGAGAACAGGTGTCCAGAAACCACCTGTTAGGGTCTCCAAACAGCCTGTTGGAGGGTCCTGGTATAGATTTGATTGTTTTGGAAGTCCTATAACGCACAGATTATTGTAGGAGAGCTCCATGTTCGAGTTTCCAGGCCTGTTTCGAGTGCACAAGCCCGAGAAAGGTCGGGATCACGCTCATCCTTGAGGGCTGCCTGTGTTGACCACTCGAGTTCCAGATTTCACATCATTCAATAAGTAGCTGAAGTCTTGTATCAGTGTCAACAAGTCTTGTCTCTGTATCAACAAGTCTTGGATCCTGCAATAACGTGGATCAGTACAAGACTTGTTTTTGTCCGTACAATGTGGAGTAAGTCATTTGAGTTTGTATCAACCAGTCTTATAATTGTCTCAGTATTATGTCCTTGGGCCTGGCTACACTCCAACATCGGTGGAGGTTTTTATTGCGGAAGATGCAACGACCGGTCGCTTCGGACACCGGGCAGATGTCACAAGACGGGCGTCACCAGACAGGCAGACAGGACACACAGAGGCTGGAACAGCGCTATACCTAGTGTAAGGTGATTTAGTTATTTTCCCTGAGGTTAAATCTCCTTCAGGGGAATCCTTTTTACTTTTTCACCGGTTCCGTAAGCAAATCGATGAGATCATTCCGAGTATTTCTTTCACCTCTGACCATCCGACATCCCTATCCTGGACTGGAAGACACGGTGGTGGCAAGCCACCGGGTAAACAGAAAGAGACATTCTTATATGCTTTTGCCCAAACTATATACTTGTGTTTTGATGGGTCTCCTTCAACTGGGTGTTTTCTGTTTCGCTGAAGATGCTGAAGGTGGGTTCAGATGCTGAACTCAGATGTCTTGAGTGTTACGGTATCATATATGGTGCAGATGTTTGTGCCCCCCCAGGCTGATCAACAAACGATGCCCTCTTTTACCAGCGACTCTTGTATTCTTGACAACGATGCCCCACGCGAAATGTCACAGGTCGTCAGAGTCAGCCAGGTCTTGGTTTACTACCTGCTAGCCGGGCCAGGTATTTGCATGAGCAGAAGCCTTGTATCCTACATCGAGACTTGAAGAGCTCCAATGTGCTGCTCGCGAAGCCCTTGAGGCGCGGAGAGAGAAACATCACCTTCGTTCGTCGAGAGCGGTAGGGCAACTGCCGGCAACGGCCAAACAGGCGGCGACTGGTGGTGAACGGAGATACCTGACTGACCTCTAAGGGGTTAGGATATAATATAAATAATATGAATAGACACCGGGGGTCCTGGATGGTCCTGGTATTAGTTTATTTCTATTTGTTTGGTACTTTGTTCGGTTTTTCCGAGTGGCGGAGTGGCCCTCCTGGCCAACGAACGGGAGAGATAGTCGAAGATGTTCGAATGTTGTTACGTCTTTTACTTGCTCTATGACTACAGGTCAATGACCTCATTTTACTGGAGCTGGTCAGACAAAAATGCTACTGAAGACTGAAGGAGGTAAACGACCTGGCTGTACTTGCAGGGTATGTTTAGACAAACATGATTACAATGTTTGTCTTTTTCCGCCCAAGAAGTTCCCCAAAACGTTACACCGCAGAGTGCGAAGAGTGGCGAGACGGGGGCAGGTCTGCTACGCAAGAGCCCTTTGCCAAGGCGCGCCGGTGCAGTGGCCATGAGAGGGGAGATGTGTCCAATCGCTTTGGGAAACCCTTGGTGAGTGAAGATCAGCAGGTATGCTCACAAATCTCCCGCATGTGCACGTGTTGCTCATCTTCCAGAGGAACCGTTCTATGATGATATGCGGAGCACAACCGGTGGAATCAATGAGCCGATGATCTTTCAGACGCTGGAACAGGGCTTCAGATCTTCCTACATACCCATGGCCTATCCCAAGCACTGGCTGGAACAAAGGTCCAAACATGTCGGAACACTGATCACACTTCAGAGTGGACAGGCTGTCCACTTCAGCCGCCAAATGAGTATAAAGTATCTTCGGAATGTGACATGCTTGTGTTACACCTTTCAAGATCCTGAAAGCATATTCGACATTTTAGTGCTGACGTTTCTCAAACTTTCGGCCCATGCTCCACAGCGTCTTCCTGGTGAAGGAGCTGACGGTGGGTCTCCGCACGAAGGATCTTGCATGAAACTTTAGGATCCAGATCTTGCTTACCATTGACCACCTTCAGACAAGTTGTTTCATGTTGTTTCAACTGAATAATCTCTCTAGATTGGGAAGTGCCCCTTCCACAATCAGATCATACGAACTCAACGAGATTTCTGAAGCCATTTGTTGCTGACTAGCAGCCAAGAGAGCACAAGCCAGTGGGCACCTGTGGTGACGGTGGTCATCCATTTGTAGCCAAAGCACAAGACCCACTCAGTTCTTGCACGTGTTTCGGGGATTGAACATGTGTGTTCTTGTAAGGCCTGCTGGGATATGCACCCTCATTGACACATCTTCTGGACTTCTGTATGCTACAAAGATCTTCCCGTCTTCATATCTTGTCATTTCATCCTCGGACGGAGTGATTGCGGGCCCAGGTGGCGGACTTCGGGCTTGCGAGAGCTTCTGCCACTTGCTGAAGGGCGGGAACAGCCTCCAGCCTCCGCTATCAAGTACTCCCGGTGGTTTGACCCCCCCGCTTGAATTGAAACATTTTTTTGGGTGGGCCACAAAGTGTTGGCCGGAAACAAGTGATTAGCATTTGAATCTGCAGAGGGGATGGCCCCTGCCCCGGCTGAAGATAGTGGGGTGGGGAATTCTGTGGACGACCCCTCAACTCCTGAAACAACTTCAGATTGGGGAAGGCGGCCCTCCAGATTTCACATGTTTAGGATAAATTTGTTGACTGTGATACTATGCATGTGTTTGAATATATGGACTAAGACCAGGACGTCCAGGGAAACTCCATTTCAGGCTCCCATGTGCAATCTCTACCAGTCTTTGATACTGCATGTTCTTGGAGTTCATCCAACATCAAGATTCATGATATATTATAGAATTATATGATTAAATATATTATAACTTATATTATATGTATAGCATTATATAACAATTATAAATATATATATATATTATGCATATTACCGCCAGCTTTGCCAGCACCGAGAACTGTTTAGTTTTCGGAACTTCTGATGTACTTTCCTCGTGACAGCCTATAGTTATGTCCACGAGTGGGCTGATTATGGCTGATTCAAAAATTTTCTACAAGTCCAATGACCAAGCAAAACCTGGTTCTTTGCCTCCTTGAGTAGTGTTTTTGCATGATCAACTCCAGTAAAGTGGCGTCATTGATCTGTATGGGATTATGGGAACATTGACCTTTTAGATGACCTGTGTTTTGCAACACTTTTTGGGATGGGGCGATTCTATTGTCCGATTCCATCCCTTTCTCCAGCTCGAAACAGCAACCCGTTACGCAGATAAGGACGATGTGCAGCAAGCGATGACGGCCGGCGTTGGCACCTGGAGATGGATGGCACCAGAGGTGCGTTCGGTTTTGGGGGCAGCCTTTCTTTCTTTGACAGGTGGGAAGTTGGGATGGAAGCCGGGGCTGAGGTTCCAGAGGTGTTTCTATGTGTTTCTGCTTGATCATTCGAAAGATCTGTGGGTCGTCTTTCAAACGGAGGACCCGGGCTGCCCACAGAAATGAACAGAATAGACTGGCAGAGAGGTCAACTGATGTTAGTTAGCAATCGGTGGTTGCTATGACCTCGGAGTATCCCCAAAACTGCCACCCGAAACGCCCCGAAACGCCTTGTTGGGAGAAGAGCGAGGCAAGAAGTGTTTGTTTTGCACGAAGGGTTTAGTGAGATCAGTGCCTTTGTAATCCTAAGGTCTTGGTACCCCTCCAAGACCAAGTGGTCCCCATCCGAGACGAAACAGGAAATACGGGCTCGCGAAGAATATAGTTAAGTTACGAGATCATTTATATAGAACATAGAGGGGATGAAAGGTTAGAGGTCGCTGTCTGATATTCAATGCTTTGAAACAGGTAGAGCTTCACCTTGGCCTAGACCTCACAGTATTTGCATGTTTTCCGGAACCACTGCGAGTGCCCCGTCGTTTTCCAGGCGCAGTCACCGAGGCCTCCCACCACGGTTTTTGGGTCCGACCCGGTCGTCGAGTCGCAGCGCTTCAGAGGTGTTCGCTTCAGATCCCGATTCAGATGACGCCGCCTACAACCTGCCTCTGGGCCGGAGAGATGGAGATGAAGATGCACACGACAACACTGGTTGAAACCGGGGGCAGCCAGAGCGAGTTCAGAGAGGCGGTGTGAAAAGAGGGAATGGACTGCTACAGCGACTGAGTTTTGTTTGGTTGAAATGCAGCAATCGGTTTGCGAGATTGGAGGCCATTCAACCTTCCCCTTCAAGGGTGGATCCCGTGTTCAAAAGGCATTGGGTGATGTTGAGAAAGTATAGACGACAAACTGCACAACCTCAAAATATTTGATCCAATTTAGATGTCCCATAGGGATGGGAAAGACCTGAAGATATGCCTGCAACCACAGGTTTGGAGTTTTGGATTGCATCAAACGGGATCCCTTCCCCTGGTGTACGCATGCAAGTTCTTCTGGAGCTTTGACAGGTAATGTCAATCTGGATTACATAGCGACTACAAAGACATAAAAAGACTACTATATAGAGAAACGTAATAATATAGCATTTTTTTAAAACAAACATATATATGTGTTTTTTGCTTTTATTTTTTGTCATCGACATGCTAAAACCTTTTTCAGGTAACCAACATGTATGTATTTGATACATACATGAAGCCAGGTACATATATATATATATACATCCTATAATATATATATATATATATTCTACATATAACAACAGACTTGTTCGTATCATTTTTTTGCATTTTTTTGCTAGGTGGGTGGGTGGGTGCACTCAATGTTGTTCTCAGGAAGGCGGACGTCTATTCCTTTGGCATTCTGATGTATGAGGCGCGAGGAAGGCTGTCCGGCCTCCTTAGGGGAGAAAGTTGGTGGAGGCTTCCACAAGTGTGAACATGTTGGAGGAACTGTTGCTATGCCACAGATACGGACAATGGGTGTGGGAATTGGTCGAGTGAGATCTAGACCGGAAACAACATCATACGTGAAAACTTAGGTGGAACTTAGGCCTTGGGCTTTGTATTTTACAGTGTTGGAATCTTACAATGGCACTGTCATTGCCATAGTGGGACCACCATGGACCATGCATTTGGGCATTCCGACTATTTCAGTGTGGGTTCAGAGCAAAAAAGAGTAATATCCCATTGATTCCTGAGGAGGTCTCACAAGCGAACAGTTTGCGAACATATTTTCCATGATCGACCGTCAATCTTGATGCAACTGGTCTTAGTGTTTCTCTCTGAACATGTCATCACCGCGATAGAAACCGGTCGACTCCGACGATCGCCTTCGTGGAGCTGCGAACAGAAGGCCTTCTGCCTTCGCGTCGAACATCGCCAATCGTGACCCCTACACCGACTTCGTCGTACCTCCTCAGGTTCGGGAAACGCCTAGACCCTCCTGGCACCCCCAGTCCTACCGGTCGAAAGGAAGGTCCGACTGGAGGCCTAGGGGACATGCGATGACAGGTGCTGGAACGTCAACTTCCCTACAGCGAAAAGTTTGGGACGGGCCTTCGGGCGGGCGGTGGAATGGACAGGCAGTTGGGACAGGTTTTGGGCCTTCGAAGGCTCTTCGAAGGCAGGCACCTAAGCAAATCCAATGGGTGTCCAATGGAGACCTTTTTCAGTAGCGTAGGGTCCGTCCATATGGAGATATGTCAAGTGTGTGCAACAACAAAGGGTATATATAATCCCATCACCAGGAGATGGCCGTCGGTCAAAGACTGTCACTATTTGTGAGAAGAGTTTTTACATTCTTTACTAACCATCATCTCATGCACTGTTACTTGTAATGGGATATACACCCTGGAAAATTAACATGGAACCTGAAGACCACTGGGTTGTAAAGGGAAATAGTTTTCCAAAGGTCCATTTTCAGGTTCCATGTGAATCTTCCCACCCGGGTGTACCATGACATACCCAATCTGGAACCTTTAAGCTCTACAGAACCTATTCTTTAAGCTCCGACTGGTTGATTCTGCCATTTTCTAACCAGGAATCAGCCAAGTCACATCATCACGAGCCAAGTCACCTAAGCTGCGCTTGGCCGTTCACCGAAGCTCCGAAGCTCCGAGCACCGATGTGGACCGGTCCTCCAGGACCGATGTGTCAGATCCCCGCATTGGTTTACACGCATGGAGACCCAGGGGTGGCGGGGTGGCAGAGTGACAGAGTGAGAAAGCACCAATCCCAGAGACTCCATGTAGGAATATATAGATGCATTAGGCTCATAAATGTAGATAAATGTCGTATATATATATATATATTATACAAAAATAATGTACATAACTCTTCCACACGAGTTTTTTGGTTCCTGGAGGATGTTGGACCCTGAAAACGCTGAATTTCAGCGAGGTGAAACCTTCCTCCAACGTTCCGAAACCGCACAGCGCAGTGCAGCGCCCTGTGGGGTTGGTTGGTTCTGATGTGTGGTGCCATTTGGGTTGAAGCAATCAATGAGGTCGCTCCAGTCTGACCCAGGTCCAAACCTCATCCTGACAACCTCTGAGGTTGTCGTGTTTTAGATTATTTTGTGCGACCCACTCCGGTACAATGAAGTCAAAATTACACGTACGACAACATGTTTCTCCCTCAGCTGTGCTCCAAACTATCCTGGTCCTCAGCCACTGATGGTCATTGGAGAGACTAGAGAGACAAAGAGAGACACAGATCAGGCGCTTCTGTTTTTTTGCCCGGCCAAAAGCAAGGGGTCGACAGAACTGGCCTGGTAAAGGATTTTGGACCAATAGAATGTTTGAAAACAGGAAGCGGGCTGAGTTTCAAGAAAACTTGTCTCCTTTGCTCCACATGTTAAACACTTTGACCACAGGTTGGACAACAGTTCATGAAAACATCGAGGCGACCTCTGCAAACAGACGTGTCCATTTTTCAAGGGTGCAGCATGTTCTGGATAATGTCGACACCGGATTAGTAAACACCCCCTCAGAAGGTTTGCTATTTTGGGGGGATCAGACAAGCGCAATTCACTTTAATTGGGGTAGTAAAACAGGAGAGGTCACCAAGACAAGTCTCTCCATGACGAGAGGCCCCAAAGACTAAATCTCTTCATGAGGAGGGATTCTTAAGACAAAATCTCTTCGTGATTCATGACAATAGAGGCCTCTGGGAAGTTTAGTGGCTTGTGGACAATTTTATCACCGTAGAGGGATTATGGGGGACCTCCTTTCAGAGCTTGAACATGTATTTTTTTGGGGTAGGGTTTATAAAGAGTTGTATAAAGGATTATATAGAGGATTATTTGGAAGCGGCTTTGTGATTTTGGATGGGATGAGGCTAGTGGCTGGGACCAATGAGACATTTGCCACGAAGACAGAGCAAATTGTAGAGTACCTTGGCCATGCCATGGAGAGGATGATCAAGAAGAATGCTGAGGTGGGTGTGAATATCCGCACGTATAAATCAGTTTGGCCAATGAGTTTCACTGGATGGGCAATGCCAAAGGTATGAGCCAACCATGAGCCAGCAGCGGCCAAAGGATTGACTAGTGATTGGAGCGTGGGGTCGTTGGAGTTTGGTTAAGTAGTATTGGAGTTATGAGCCCCCACATCAAGGTCTGAGGTACCAAAGGATGAGGAATTGATGGAAGGGAGGGTGGAAGGCAGGTAGTATTATTGAAAGAATCCAAAAGACCATTAGAGTCAAGGTTTTCCAATTTGGTGCCAGAAGGTCTTTTGAAAGGCGCTTGTTATTGGAGGCCCCGAGGCGGGCCATACCAATCGGGTGAGTTGATTAATCCTGTCTCGACATATCTCCAAGATCTTCCCAGAGTTTGTCTGCCAAAAAAGCAGGTGACTCATCGTGATTCTCTTTTCTTCTCACATTGGGCAAGAGACTTGACAGGAAAAGGGTTGAAAACGGTGGCCCCACCCAGGCCTCAACTACCCCAAAGGCGGGCCTAAACGCTCCATCGGCCGCGCCCCCCCACAAATTTCGACCCAGGGATCGAGCAGGAAGCATGGTGCTCCCCCAAAATACTCTGCTGATAACCGATGGCTCCATTGCTTCCACGTCACCAAGAAAGTGCTTACAGTATCTTGCATGTATACGGGTGCACATTATGGCATTCTATTTGTATATACGTATTTATATATATATTATATAAACATATATTTATATTCAGGCATTCTATTTGGTACACATTCTGACATTCTATATGGTATATATTGTGGCAGTCTAGCTGGCATATATTCTGGCATCCTTTATGGCAAAGCATTTTCTGGCGTTCTATCTAGCAAAATTGCTGCCATTTTTCTGATATTATTTCTATCTGGTTCAGGTCCCGTGGTGCCCATTGCGTTCGCGGTTGAGGTTCGCTGTTGCATACTGCGATCTATCGCGCTTGCGGTTGAAGTCCGGCGGTGCCCACTGTGATTTAGCGCTCGTGGTTGATGCCACGCGGTGCGCTCTGCGATCTAGCGCTCGCAGTTGAAACCCGGCATGTGCAGAAGAGGGCAGCTTTGATAAAATCTCACAACCCTCACCTGGCATGCAGGTGGGGAACACATCCAAAGCAAGTTTCTCCCATGCACCATCGGCCTAGCTCTCCTACTGTGAGCGATGTTTTGTTCGGTGGACCACCCAAGGTGTGTCGCGGGCTGCGTCCGGCGATGAAGCCCATCAGTACAGACGACGGGACCCATGAGGTCCGAGAGGCCGGTGAACTGCGGCTTTGGGATTTGGGGGCCGACCCCCTTAAAGATGGTGAGGGACGGTGAAGGTTGGGAAGGAAGATGGATGGAGAGTGGGTACAAAAGAATGGTGGGTATGGTACAATTAACTGGGTGCATGAACGGTAGAAAAAATTAGGGGAACTGCCTAGATGTCTCAGTGGTAGTCTTTAGATGTCTTTGATGCACGAGAGCCAGTTGTTTTGACATATAGGTCTACAATTTGATTTGCATCGCTTGCAATACCCTTTGGATTTGTTTGGCATCCAGGTTGAGTATACGTATGCCTCGTTGGATTGTTTTGACTTGAGGGTTCACTCCTGCACAAAGCAGGAGAACATTTGAGGGTCATTTTGTTCCAAGGTGGCGAAGGAAGTGGGACAAGGGTTACAAGGAAACTGCACTATGATTGTGTTCATTGCCAATCATCAATCCTAGCTACTAGCTTGTGGGTGGTGATTGACCACCCACAATTCCAATTCCAAGAGTTTGTTTGCTGTTGCCTTTGGGGGCAAGAGGACTCCACCCTGGGAAAGTTGAATCAAGTTTCTACGAAACCAACCATCCCAAAAAGTTTTGGAGAACCAAATGCTGCGTTTGGATCACCTCCGGAACCGAACTCGCCAGGAGCTCAAGCTCTTGATGCAGCGAGCGTGGAGCAATGAACCTGAAGACCGTCCTGATTTTCAGGAGCTCCACAATATATTCTCCACATGTCTCGCATTTCTTCACTCTTCTCACATATTATCCAATAGATTCATATATATATATACTGTATACATACAAAATATATTCCAAATCGCCTGCATCAGCTTTGCTTCCTTCTTGGCTGAATGGTTCCCCAAAAGATGATGGCCATGCGGTTGCATGAACATGCTCCCACCTCAAGATTGAACTTGACTGAGTGTGCCACAGCGCTTTCATTCGTGTCACGACAGCATCACCGCCAAACCAAGAATATATAGTTTCCTTTCATATTGGGAGATTCTCAATTGAATGATTCTTTTTAGCTGTGGACACACATGGAACGATGGAACGCTCATCTTCGCTTTTGCTCCACGCATTCATGGACCATATGTAGACCTCCAAATTCTTGGTTTTGTGTGCGCAGATCGTTTTGTCCCAGGAGTTGGAAGACAATCTGAGTCGCCTTTGGCAAGCCTTGGACAGCCCGACATCAGCCCCGTGAGTCCGACCGGATGAAACTAGGACACATCGAACCGAATGGCAGTGGGTATGGATCTTATATGAGCTCACCTATCATGCCCCAGGCATAGCTTGTGTTTCTTTCTTGCCTCTCCCTCTGTATAAATATTTACAAATATACACATTCAGTAGTTACCTGTGCGTAATCAGATATATGTGCACTCTTGCACCAGGAATTTGACCGTGACTGCTTTATGGAGAAGACGGTCTCAACATTATTTTTCAAGATACAGAAGCAAAGGCTCATTTGATTCATTTGTGTGTAGATGAGTAGGGAAGGAAGCATGCTGGGAGGCGCTGTGCAGAATTGTGTTGGGAAACTTATTATGCCTGCATCGAGAAAAAACAACAGTTTTCAGATATTTGTGAATCTCAAGATCCGGAGCTTCAGTTCCTGCATGTACAGCGTCAAAAACTGCTTGGGAACGGTCGCGAGTCATCCACCAAAGCTCAGTATTCTGGTCCCTTTTGGTCCGATTCAGCACACTGCCCAGCATGCCAAGTTCAAGTCTACTGGTTGACTTGTCTTTTTTTGGTGGGATCTACACTGGACATTTTGGGGGGTCAAAGCCTTTGATTGGAGCTGCTTCGGGCTGCCTGCTTTGCTTCAGCAGTTCCCCGGTGCAAGCGCCGTAACGGCGGTGCACGGGGGGAGGGCAGGGTGCGAGTTGTGTCCGGGTCTGGCGGTGCAAGCATGCAGAGAAGCTATGAGCAATTGTAATACTGTATGCGATTCTAAATGATTCTAAATCATAGTTATATATATCTAATATATTATAGGGCTGGTTGTTTTTTCCATATGCGGAGATATGGACAGGGGTGCTTTCGATCAAGGGTGCTTTTTCTATGCTCTAGGTGCCTTTTCCGATGCTGCTGGTGCTTTTTCGTAGCCTCGTAGTGCTTTTTCTTATACTGAGAGTTCTTACTTGTATGCGCATGGTTGCTTTCCTTATGCAGACGGTTCCTTTTTGTATGCTGGGAGGTGTCGCCCGGGTGCCGACGGTGGCCGTCGAACAGAATCCTGCTGCAAGGGGACCCGTCAAACAGAATCCCTGGCAAACAGAATCTCTGGCTAAAGAGGCGTCCGTCAAACAGAATCAGACCGATGGTGCCTTTTTGTATGCTGGGAGGTGTCGGGCGACGTGTTGGCCGAGGTGTCAACGGTGCCGTCAGACAGAAGCCTTTAACTGCTCGTGCAACAGAAGCTTTGGCTGTAGAGGCGTGTGTCAAACGGAATCCTTGGCTATAGAGGCCAAATGCCGACGGTTCTTTTTTGTATGCTGTGACGTGAGGTCTCCGGCGAGGTGTCGACGGTGGCCGCCAAGCTTGAATCCTTCTGCAGGAGGGCACGTCAAACAGAATCCTGGGCCATGGAGGCTTGCGCCAAAAAGCATCATGCCGACGGTTCTTTTTTGTATGCTGGGAGGTCTCAGGCGAGGTGTCGACGGTGGCCGCCAAGCAAAATGCTGCCAACTACAGCAGTTTCGTGTCTTTAGCTGAAATACAGGTGTTGTAGCTGGCCAAATACATTGGAATAGTGCAGGTTTAATATTTGCTGGCTGATTAGACTAATTTGGGAGCTCTCGTAGCTGGCATATTATGAGCTACTGGCGTGTGGACCATTCTTGATGCACGTCGATGCAAGGAAAGGTATCTTGACATCGCGGCAAAACAATCCATGCATCTCACTGACTAGGTTTTCACCAGGTAGATCAGCATCCTCTGGTCGATTTTCCATTGGGTTGTCTATTGACAAGACAAATCTTTGCCGACCCAGCCGTTCTCCCTTTCCCCGCCTCGATTGCTGCAGCACTGGGCAGCTGCGCAGCTGGCTTGAGCAGGATGTTTCCCTAGCCATTCGACCGGGGCAAAACATTCTCCGTACGATTCTAAAGGGGGTCGAAAAGGTGTGTGATCTTTAGGGTTGAAAGTGAGACGAATCCCATCGAATCCCCCAAAATTGCCTAGAATGGGTGGACAGTGGGCATGCGTTTTCGAAAGCTAGGGGCCACCCTGTCCATCATTGATTTATCAAGACGTCTTGGCAGGAATACAATTGATGTTTACCAGGGTCCCTGATTTGACCTTTTTTTCCTGATCCATGGCAAAATAAAAGATGATCTTTAAAGAGGCAGATGGTGTTGAGTATAGGAAGGCCTGTGTTGGTGTTTCTGCCAAGTCTCATTTTCGCTGCCTCCTTGATCGTTTCCTGCCGGACCCCAGCTGTTGGAGGTTTTCCGCCGGGAGACCCCGTTTGGCTGGGCTGCCAGTCCCAAGTTTGAGCGAAGAGGTCTAGCACTGGAGGGTTTTCCTGTTCGACATTTGTTGGGCTCGGTTTCTTAGTTGCATGTTTCAGATAACATCATGGGTTCCTCTAACTGAATGATGTTGGAAGAGCTTGGTAGCGAGTTTGCGAACAGATTTGTTCAGATTGTGACCCTGAAATCCACTTCAGCAATGCAAAACTTGGAAAGATGTGGCCACTAAGTGGGACTTATCTGCGTGATTCAGAAATGGCAGGTGAGAACTTGTTGATCGAGAAAAAATGAATCCGAGGGATGGGTGTTGGTGTGATTCCATAGCGAGAAACTCTATAAGAAATACATTTCGTGCATCCGATGCAACTGTTTGACCAACCTATTGATGTTTTAAACTATCTACTCGTTCATGGTTTGGACATGTGAAAGCCAAACAAAGCTCGAGAGGGATGAGTGGTTGAAGACAATCCTCAAGCATTCAATCATGCCTGAAACAAAAAATAACGGGACCTGGTGGCTTACCACGGTGCAAGGAACGCAACAGAGGTGGGACTTGTATTGATTCTATAGAAGAAACAGGCCAACAGATACGGCGGCCGCTTTTGAGTGGTGATGGTAGACATTTGTTCACATGAACATAATGAACATAGCGCAGTCGGAGGCTGTGTAACTAGCTAGGCAGTGGCCACCCCGCTGGGCTCACTAGCTTGGCTCCTAGGTTCCGGCCGAAAATCAAGCCGTTAATGCCCATGTTTCATGACCTCAAAACAGAGGCTGCAAAGACACATTCATGCCGCATTCGTTCTTTCTGAACTTTGTGCCATCATTTTTGCAGGCGAAGCAGCCAACACTGTAAAGTTTCTGTTGACTTGTCGGCGGTCCTTGACTTTCAGCGACCTTATTATTGCTGCATTATGTTTGCTCATTTTATGCGAACAACAGGGGAGGGTGACCAGAAGACTGCCTAAGCCACCTAAGCTACCTGAAGCCTGAAGACCGTTGTCTGAAGTTCCCATGTCGGCCATGGCGAGTGTGGCCACCGTGCCTGTCTCGTTCGGCACACAGCAGCCGGATGGGAGCACCTTCTATGGAAGCTTTGAGGTTGGATGATGGCCATCCTTCGGACGCGAGTGACCTTTTGAATCCTAAACCCAAGAAGCTGGGTGCTGTTGCCCCCACACAACCGACCCAAGGCAAATAGGCAACAAAGACGAATCCCGGTATGACCGTGGTGTGCGTCTCGTTCCTTTTGATCCATTCTTTCCACTCTCCTGACCCGTGGCATGGCATGGCGAAGATGAGGACCAATCCGAAGACCAAACCGGTGGTGAATTCAGAAACAGTTCATTTTTTAAAAGGCCCACGAAAGCACCGGTTTGGACACCACCAAGATTAGGGTTAGTGAAAAGGATTGGACTCCAGCAAACCCATAATGAGTCCAGGCGAGTCAGATGGATTGGGTCTGTCCAGACGGGCCCGTTGAGACGTTGTTCAGGTGTCCAGGTATCAGGTGGAACCGCAACGAGTGATGAAGAAGAAGCACAAACAAAGCAACAGCTCTTCAGCGCCAGTCATGGGACTTGAGACATGGCTGGCGGACACATACAACGCAGCCATTCTAAACCAGGCTCCCTGATGGAAGAAAGCACAAGATGGATCAGACATGGAAGAAACTGAAACTGGTGAATGAACAGGGCATCCAGTTACCACTATGACTATAGCTGGCAACCAGTGGTTCCAGTTCGACTAAGACCATAGACTGCCATAGACCAAACGAATTCCTGGTTCCTTATATAGTGCTTTGCCTGGGTCCACTGGGTACAGGAAGACAACACGCTTTCTTGCACCTTTTTCGGAGCTCACCAGCTGCGCAGCCTCCAACCTCCACATTCGGTGCAAGACTCTAAGACCTTGCGTGCCACAGAGACATGCACAACTTTATTTGATAACAGAAACATGCAGTTGTGCCGAAAGGCCCCAGGTGGGTCGCTATGGGGATTTCTTGACCTCAAAGTGGAGCGTGGAAGTCCGGGTGGCACTGCAAAATCTTCCGCCACAGGCACAGACCACCTACCCCAGTCGGGGTAGCTTCATGCCTCCTTCACCGCCGCCTCCAGCCCCCCGCGCCCTCTCACGTCCTCGTGTGAGTGGAGTGCAGTCGCCATTGCCTCCCTTGGTGCAGCCCAAAGGTGTCTTGGATGCGGTGATTGAACAGGAAGTTTGTGCAGAATCATCACCGGTGTGACTGTCGGATTGATTGAACTGGTTGTACTTCCCCAGGCAGCCAGCGATGTCTAGAGGACAGATTCAAGCGAACCCTGCAGGTGGTGCCAGCCAGCTGTAAATGTTGGCTGAACAGGATGAGCTGTTCTTTTGATATTGTCTCTTGTGTTTGTGTGGTTGAACTGGCCTGACGTTCGCGCTTCTGAGCTTCTTGAAGTGGAATCCGAGCGCTGACGCTGACGCCGGGGCGATAAGCGTGCAACACTGGTCAAGTTCTTCATCCTGCTTTATCCTCCTAGATCCTGCTTTCTGACAAGCTGGCCTTAAAGATATGTTTTTGTCATTGTAGTAGAAACTTGCTTGCAGCTTGGTGTCACCCATATCTTTGGTAGTCAGTGAGCTTCCCTCGCTTGGTGGGACTTCCCCAGTCCAAGTTTCACGGATTGATGGCCCCACTCAGTCCCTACCTCCCCCACCTCCCCACCTCAGTTCCTCCACAGTTTTCGAGCCTCCAAGTGGAACAGAGGATAACGTCTCCGAGATGTCCAATTCATTGTTTCAGCAGATCCTTCTTCTAAGGTGATGTGGCCCCCATGCTGCCTGAGCGCAGCCCCTGTGGCCCGATGAAGTCCTTGGATCCTCCCGGCCTCATCGCAGCAGGCGCGGAGGAGCCAACAATCCCAGACACTCCATGGGACTGCCATATATGCCGATCAGTTGGGGTGGTTCGAGGGGTCAATGGGGCGGCATTTATGGCAGTCCCATGGAGGGTCTGGGAAGCATCATGTCAGGCGGTGGAGATCAACTTCGATGCCGAAAGGAATCAGATCTCTCACGAGACTTCCTAAGTCAGTGGCAAAACTGAGCAATCTCTGGCACGTTCATCCTGGCACTGAGAAGTGAAAGTTGTTTTTTTAATCCCGGTCCTGTTTCTGGTGCTCCCCACGTCCCTATCCTGGCACTTCGATCTCGCCCCAGGCATTCCGTGGCTGGACTCTTTAAGTCCTTGGCAGCCGACCCGACCACCTTCGCCGATGCCGGTGGCACGCGCAAGGTGAGGTCGTTGTTCATCGTAAGAGTCACAGAAGAATTCCAGGGTGGACCTGAACCTGAAGCTGCTGGGCTTGTTCCACCTCACGACGAAAAACTGGAGACTGTCTGCCAGGAGTGTCTCGCCCTGTCCCAGCCCCATCCATCGGGTGGTGCGTACGACGCGGCACGCCGCACCATGCGCCTCTTGCTGCCGCGCGCCAGTGCCGATCCTGCCCAGCACTGCCCGGAGAAAGCGGGGGGAGCAGTGGCTGTGAGTGTAGAGAAGCCCTCAACTCCAGCAGATCCAATGGATGGAATGGGGATTTGGGAGGATGGAATGGGGATATTGATGATATTGACTTCCACAAGACATGTTTCGGTTCGTGCTTCGATGGAGTGCATCCGCAAGGTCAGGTCGTTCTCTTTGCTTGTTCTTTCAAACCTAATACAACATGTTCAATGTTCCATTGAGGCTTGAGGAATTGAGACTCATCGAAGCGAGCGAAAGGACTGGGGTCAAACATCATGGACTCCATAAGTGATCCAAAGGCCCAATCAGTCGCACCCTATGGCGCTAAGCTGCCAGGAAGTATATCTCATGTGTGAAGGATCGCTCCCTACGATTCTTGCCCGAGCAAAGAGGGGAAAACCCCCCCAGTCATTTGGAGTCTTTGGTCGCTGGACACTGAGCAATATCAATGAAGAACACCTTCGTATTTCAGAAGCAGCCAGGCAGACAGAACTGGAGCGAAGTTCCCATGCGATGAAGGGGATGGGTAAACACTCAGTGCTCGGCATTGGCACCAGGCAGACACCTGGCTGGGAATGCCCTCCAAGCAATCCTGAAACGAATTCAATAGCTCCCCCCAGAGCTCCAGAGCTCCATCAACCCAGCTTCGACCCCTTCGACTCAGCCAGACACCCTGCAGGAGTATCACGCGCATGGTCACGACTCCCAGCCAACCTCCGGTCCGGAGTTACAGCAGCCTGGCTGAATTCAGCCGTTGGTAAGAGACCTTCAGGGGCAATCAGGGCATGAGATGTTGGGACTCTGGAAAGCTAGGCTATGCCATGCTATGTAGCTGTGCTGTCATTAGTTATTAGATGTTATTAGTTAAGAGTTCATGAATAATGACTCAATATGACTGGAAAATGACAACATATAAACATCCGTAAATACTAATCCGTGAAGGAGCACATTTGCTTACAATGAAGAATCCACAACTTGACGAGATATTCCATTTGCCAATGGAAAACAAAGGGCAAAAAGCACACGTTGATGAATGATTGTCCCTATACGTCACTTCAAAAGCACTGGCATAGGGACAATCGAGTTGAGAATCGACGATGAATCGACAAAGCAAACTGTATGGTGGGTCTTGGAGAGAAACGAAAGGGCTTTCGAGATAACCAAAGCAAACCAGGTCGGGCCATCCAAAAAAGGGAAGGATAGCTGCACTGCACTGCCCCAGGGGCAAAACCCAAGAAATGAAAAAAACTGAGGGTCAACCAGACATCCATCGTTCTCTCCCGGGAGGCCGATCTCCATCCCCGACGACGCGCTTGCCTTCGCCGGACCTGCGGGGCGCTCACCGCGCTGTGGACGCGCCGCTGCCGCCCGCCTCGGCGAGGAGGGCCTCGCCGCGGTACCCGCCCGCGCTTGGAGTGTTGTCTGGGCGAAGGAGTAGATGAAACAAGAAACTATGGGGCAGAAAGCATTTGGTGGTGAAAAAGGGCGGAAGTAGATCAATTGGATAGATGACGAATGACAGATGTGTGATGTTCTCCGCAATGATCTTGGAATGAATGAAGTGAAAGGATGTCAGAACTTTGGAGATTGGCTTCATAAACTCCATCTCTTTGGAGACGCTGAGAAAGTTTTTGTGCAAGGGCAAGAAGAAACTCTTGTGTGGTGTTATATGGCAGACTGGTGCTTAGCAGGGAATGAGGGAATGGATCCAAAGGAATCTCTATTGGGGGCTCCTTCCCTTATTGCCCACGAGTCGCACCAGTCAGATGGTGTTATGCATGGTCAAACTAGAGACGTAGGAATGATGTGAGCCGTGGGAGGAGACGTAGGAAGTTGAAGACGGCATCTCACAGCGAAGCCACTTCACACGGTTTTTGCCCGGCCATTGCCATTGAGACAGACACGTCTGGGGTTAGATTGCAAATCAATAGGCTTTCGAGCTGGTCACAAGCTGTGATGTTGTTGAACAGTTGAACGCTTTGGAGCATGGAGTCCAGTTGATTGGTATACAGTGTAATTGCAGTGAAAGTGTTCTATCCTATGCGCTGCTGGTCTGGATTCTTGAGGCATTGTCCTTGCCTGACATTCATACACATCAACGACATGTTTCGTTGCACGTCATTGCTCAAGTATCTCAACGTAAACCAATTGTACCCAACACAAAACAAGCAAACAATCACGCTAACAAACAACGTGAAAACAATATAAACAAATGAAGATTGACAAAAAGGAAAGAACGGGGAAGACACTTTTGTTTGCTCAGTTGGACTACGGTCGGCCTCTTGTTGGAGCTTTTGCAGGGCTCCTGTTCTCTTTTCTTGGAACAAAGGGAATAATGACCTGACAAGAAAATCAGAAATCACTATATATATATATATATTTGTTAGAAAAAGCGATCTGTTTGTTTTTGTTGTCCACAAAGAGTCCTCAGATCTTAGAATTAGCGCAGCAATTGGATTGAACTTCTATGACTGCTCCTGTGTTCAATCAGAGGACATCCTCATCCTCACCCACCGGGTGGATCCACTGCCTAGACTTTGGTGCCGAGGTAGAGGCAAAGGTTGATGGCTTGGAAGAGATCAGGCGGAGAGGGAAAGGACGATGGGGGAGCCTTTTGGCAGCCAGCAGTTGGAACAGGAGTTTGACACCCCAACTGGGACGAATCTGAAAACCCAGTGGATGATCATGTTGCTTGGGCGGGGGTGGGATGTTCAAGCGAGAGATCCGGCATGAGGAATTTTGGCGGATACGGGAGGACAGAAGGTATCAAGGTGCTGTGAGGGAATAGGTGCTTTGGGGATAGATACAGCGGAGTTCCATATTTGACTTGACAGGTTGGTTTGACAAGGATCTTGCAACGAAAGAGAACTCAATACATTGTATATAATAACAGTAATAGGGGTTAAGATGTCAAACATCCACCTACAAAAGTCATGCAGATCTTGAATTGAGTTGGCCTATCTTGACAGCTATCAAGCATCGCAAGAAGAGTGGACGAAAACTGAGACTTTTGATGTTCTCAACACACACCTACATGGTTTATATGATTTGATTTCAACTCCCGGAGAGCAACACCGAGGGAAGGACAGAATGTTTCGCTGTCCAACTCTGTCCCGCAGGCGTTGGGAGGCTCGATTAGGAGCTGGCCCTGAGCACAGGGGCAGGACTCCCCAGGACATCTTTACTGCGGAACGGGCGGTGTGGGTCGGTTGGTTTCTTATGTGGCGCCTTGTTTTAAAAGGAGGACCTCCCTAGCCTGATGGATTTGGTGATTGATTCTCCCGGTCGAACTCATAAGTCGATGATCCCGTCTCACAGCGTCTCGGGCACCCAAAGGTGCTTCAGTTTCGCTCCCTCGTCCAAGGTCAGCATCGAACGCCACCCAGGTGGACGGTAAATTCGCGGAGAATGGGTAGAGCCTAGAGCTCATGAAACGATGTAGTAGCCTCATGGCAGAAAAACCATGTAGTAGAACCAACAATTCAACCTATATAGTTTGAGACGGATTTGGCCATAGATGTGTTAAACAGTATAGTCTTATGGCTTGAGCATGTGCATTTCCCTCCTGCAAACAGTACAAGTACTTTAGATGCCTGAGGATCTCAGCAGGAGCTGAATTCGGGTTGTTCGTGACGCCTTGGGGGTTGGATACTTTGGGGAGCGTCTCTGAGGGCGGGTTGGAGATAGTTCGAGGGCATGAGCCTCCCAAACAATGGAACAAACTGGAAATTTGAATGATTCAGGGTGGGCCTAGCAGTTGAAGATGACCTGGACCGGTCCCTGGTCCCCTAATATCTGCCTCATGAGCTCTGAGGTCATTTCCGGATGATGTCGGATGAACTTGCCTGGTGGGCGTTCGGGCCACCATGCGGCAGTGAAAGAAGGACGTTCCAGCCAAGGTGGATGATCTGGTGTTGGTGATCGGGTTGGATTCTTTTCTCTTCCGAAAAGGGTGAAGCCCCTTCTGAAGAGAGGGCCCACCCCCTTCCAACAAACATGGAAGTGGACCATCCCCTGGTTTGTGCAGGAAAAGGATCCACTTCCAGGCGTTTGGTTTCAGTGGATGGTGCCTTTTCCCTGTTCCTGGGAGCCCCGAGTCCGGTCGAGACCCAGGTAGTTCGGACACCAGCACGGACGCGACCTCCAGTGTGTCCACGGCTCAGCCTCTGTCAACACCGACGTCAGGGACTCTTGGTGTAGTGACCTGGGCGTCTCGAAGTACCTCAGGATCAAGTAATACTCGTTTCATGGATGGCATTTACCAAACAGGTGGTGTTCACTCACGAAACACGAAGCCATGCTGATTCCAAGGAGTGTAGCTCTTATGGTGTAACCTCCAACCACTAACTGACTTGATCATTTTGATCGAGTCTCTACAACGCCATAGCTGTGAGGGCCTCTATCAAATTTTAAGTTTTAAGGGTACTGCCTGTCGTCCAAAAGAAGAAGCAGTTTATCCGGATGAGCAAAATAACATCCTAGCAACAAATGGAGAGCCGCTGATCTACAAACAGGAAAATCAGACAGGGCTCAGTTCAGGCTCACTGGCGGGCTCACTGGCTGGCGGGCAGGTCTTTGCCGACAAACGGAAACGTAGCAACAAACATCCAGCAGTACATCCAGCAGTACAGACGCTATGCATCGCGTCTGGGTAACCAGACGTCGAGTTACCAGACGCGAACGCTTGGAGTTCTTGCCGGCACGAGCCAATCCGCGCCGAGCCAATCCGCACCGCACCGAGCCGATGTTGGGGGAAATCACATGGTAGGAGGTTCAGCTAGTCATCCGGATGAGTCATCCTGGAGTCATCTGGGAGTTATCGAATGAGTTCTAGATAGTATACATCCGTATACGGTCCGTATACCATGCAGATGCAACATGTCCAGTCAGTCGCATAATAGGACTTTAACTCGGAAGAGGCTAGTTTGCAGCCGATAGGAAAACGATGGAAAACGCAGTCTGAAACAGCAAGTGGCCAACTTATGCACAGTCGTTCTTTTTCTTGAACGTTCCATGGGCACCATGTTCTTTTCTTTTTGACGCTAGTTGGAAAAGCCTATGCATGCTTTGTTTTTGATCTCGTTGGAATTCCGCAGGAGTTCGGTGGAGGGCATAGCGTCCAAACCGCAAGCACAAAATCAGATGCATCAATAATTGATCTCGTGGAGAAACGTGCGTATGCCGAAGCACAAGTTCCTTGTTCATTTTGAGCAGAATACTACATGGGCTCAGGCCAAAATCCTGACAGAATATCCATATCCAAAACGCTTTTCCCTGCACAGACAGCTTAAAGCCTTGGTGTGCTACTGGGGTAGAGTCTTTGAATGATCCGTAATTCATTGAGGATTTGCTTGCAAACACCACAATAATCTTGGTGAGTCAAGATTGCCCTTAGGGGGATATTTGTATAGCACTTTGTATGATACTACATTATGTTACACGTCTTATCTCACAGGTTCACTCCAGCATTTGACAGGTGGAAGGGCTGTTCAGGGCAGGAGCTGAACACAAGTGATTTGTATTAGGGACATGTCCCATTTTCTACGGTACTTTAGAGGATTCAGGGGGCTGTTTTCAACTCTCAGAAGTCAGAATCCTTGATCATGCCAAGCGCACTTCTGTCATGCCATGCGCAGAAACATGGACGCGTCGATCGATGTCCTGCACCATTGAAACTGCTTTTCCGCAGTGAATCCGAGTCGCCCAAGTCATTTCAAGACCATATTCCAAGAGAGAGCGACAGGGGTACAACAGTCACCAGCTGAATGAAATAAATCTTGGAAACATGTCTGCCCCCCTGTCGCACAACAAACCAAAAGAAGTACCAAGTGAAAGAGACTAAGCTCGAGGGTCTCGAGTTTCGTAGCATCACCAATGCCCACACGGTCCCAGTGCCCTCGCGTGACTCGCGTGACAAAAGAAGTCCCATGTCCAGTGGGCACTTGTCTAGTTTGTCTAGTTGAGTGGAACATCGTTGTCCCTCTTCGCCTCGCAACGCGAGGCCATTGAGTCGACTGGAACGGCACGTCTTTCGACGGAAGCTCTTTGCTCAAGAGCTGGTGTGGTGGCCCAGTCCGGACGGTTCCCGCGAATGAGCTGCCCGTAGAGCGCAGGCCATATCCTCAGGTTCGGTGGTTAGACCCCCCTGGCACCCACCCCCAACCATCAAACCGAAACGGAGGGGCGACCAGCCCTAGGGCCCTAGGGATTGTTCGTTGGAGGCGTCTCTCAGGGTGATCACTGGTCTCTCAGGGTGATGACTGGGAATGGTGGGTGAATGATGATTCGTAGTCTTGAGAAGATGGTTAGGGTCGGATTGGAGGGTCTAACCACCGAACCTGAGGAGATGGGCCAGGAGCCCTAGGGTACCTCGTGTCAGACTTTACGCTTCTTTTTCGCTCGTTCCCGGCAGAGTGGAGGGTTTGTGTGTGTGTGTGTGTGTTTCAAAAGGCTTGTCAATGTACTGGTCAACCTCTAAGAATTTGTGTTGGACCTTTTGCAAGATCCAAGACGCACAGAGAAAATATATATAAGATGGGACTGGTAGACTAAGCCCTACAGTAGAATCAGCTCACAGCAGTCGGTTTTGACAGCTTTGCCAGATCCATGTGACTCTGTACAGAGACCGTTTATATTGCACAACATGTATATATACAACAACTTGATATGTTTACGCACGTGTTGCTTCATCCAAACCAGGGTGACAGCGGAAAAAAAAAACAATCAGATATTTGTTTTAGAGGGCCATACAAGTGGATTGCCGTCATATAACATCCAATATATCATTATCATTAAAAAACAACATAATAACAATAAATATATATATATACTATATATATATGCATATATCATCCTTCTCCCAATGCCTCACTAGCATCCTTCACAATCCTAAGAACAAGTGCTTTGGCAATGCACCTTGGCGATGCTGGTGCTGGGCGGGCGGCTTTGCTGAAGACGCAGCACTTGCTTGGGGCAGATCTCACCGTGCTGTCAGACAATACTTGTCTGACAGCGTGCCTCAACTCCTTGAAGGCCTTCATGACATGCACCAAGTCTGGGCTCCTTTCAAGGCGGATGACCAAGCCGATGCTGCTGACTTCCTGCACTCCTTATGGTCCTTTGCGGGCAGCACCTTCTTCGAAGGGAGATTCTTCCATCGGAGCACCAGGGGACACCTTGAAGAACGAGATCAATTCCCGCTCAATCTGATCTTTCCCGACGACCCGGCCTTCGCCACCCTGGATGACCTCATCAACAACTGGGCAGATGAGGGCAATGGACAGTACCTGTATGGGTCCCCAGGGGGGCTGGTCCTGAATCTGCAGCGGTCCACCCATCATCAAGGGCAATGGACTAAGCACCACCGAGAAGTTGAAATTCCCACGCGAATCAACATCCCCTTCTCTGAGGATGGCATCAATGTGCACTATGCCTCCTACCAGATTGTGGCAATGGTTTTGCACCAAGGAGAAGGTCACGAGAATGGTCATTACCAAAGCATCTTGGCCATAGACAATGCCTACTGGCTGGGGGACGATGAGACCTACCCCACTCCGATCTCCTTCATTTCGCCTCAACAAAGGAAGGAGATCTCTCAGGTCTGGCTAGTCCTCTCCAGCCCGGCTGAACTGGTTCCTGACACGGCCATCGAGATTGCTGAAACTTTGGCAAAGAAACCCAAGAAGGCGCAAGAGGTTTTGCAGTTGCTCTTCGGCAATGTCACCTTCTTTGGCAGGAAAGTACAGGATTGGATTTGGGCAAAGGCTGACACCATCTTGATGCTTCAAGAAACCCACCTGCAGACAGGTAGTCTCGACAACACCATGCAGTACTTCTCCACCAGAGGATGGAAATGCCATGGAGTGGCAGCTGAACCCACGGGCAATGGAGGCTCTACGGGCGGTTTCATCACTCTTCATCCTGCCCGACACCTCATCCATCACGTCCATGATTACACCAAGCAGGGCAATGGATGGACTGCACTATGTATGGAGCGTCAAGGCCAAAACATCTACCTCGTCCAGCTCTACCTCAGAACTGGTGAAACCCTGCAGTCATCGCTGAATGCAGACATCCTTGGTTAGTTGCTTCACTTCTTGGACCATCTCCAGGCTCCCTTCATTGTAGGCGGAGATTGGCAAACCTCCCCGGAGGAGCTGGCGGCAACCAACATCCCCAGCAAGATGAGAGCGCAGATTGTGGCCACACCGGGGCCCACCACACTTCAGGGCAGCCACCTCGATTTCTGCCTTGTTTCCACCTCCCTGGCCAGCTTCGTCACCTTGGAAGCGGATTGGGAAGTTCCTTGGAAGCCGCACTGTGCTCTCTCTCTGCAGCTGAACTGCACCACCGGTGCTGTGCCAGTTCAGCAACTTCAGCGATTCCCACCCATCGCAAGGGTCTACCAACTTCCGAACAACTGGACCTCCTGCAATGAAGATGATGGCCCTTTTGAGATCATTGGGCAGACCATCACTGGGTTGGGCTCAGACTTTGCAAGGTGGGCCACACAGACTGAGAAGTACTTGTGTCAGACTTTGCAGAAGCCAACCACGGGCCGAGGATCCAAAATCAAGCTGTACCAAGCTCCCTTGATCGACTCCTCCAAACCTCAGGTCTGGAAGAAAGGCAGTGCTGCCTACTGGGAAAGGATGGGAGTCAGGATCAATGTGGCTCAGCACAAGCGACATCCCAGCGTCCTACATGATCTGCGCCAGATGATGGAAAGGCTCTCCCAACATGCCTCGAAACACCTGGATCAGGCGCACTTTGTTGAGAGACTCACTCAGTGGACCTTTGGAGCGGCAATTGATCCTGCCGAGCTGCAAGACACAGTCCATCAGGAACAGGAGAGAGCTCAACAGCAACTTCTCAGCTCCACCAACCATGAGTTCAGAGAGTGGCTTGAAAAGGCTCATGACAAGGGCCTCCGAGGCCTCTTCAGAAGTCTTCGTCAAAAAGACCATAGTTGGAAACGTCCCTTCCAGGACATTCCACACACACAGAGGATTCCAGCAAGAGAACAGCAATGGGGAGAGATCTGGCGACCACTTCAGGCCCCATGTCACATCAGAGGCATTCAGGAGTTGCGACGGATAGCACAAGCGGCAGCTGCTCAACTACCTCCAGTTGACACAGCTCTCCTGGGCAAACTTATGAGGAAGCTCCCCAACAAGGCAGCAGGACCGGATGGGATCTCCTACGATTTCCTCCGGCATCTCCCTTATCCTGCTGTATCCAGGTTGGCTTCTTTGCTCACCGAGATGGAGCGCTCGGCTGAACTTCCAATTCAGCTTCGACACACCAACATTGTCATGATCCCAAAGAATGAGCGCATCGAGAGGCCCATCGCCCTCACATCATGCCTTTACAGGCTGTGGAATTCCTACAGGAAGCACGAGCTTCACCGCTGGCAGCTGTCTTTGGATCAGGATATGCCATGGGACTTTGCACGCCCTCACAAAGACTGCCTCTCCATTGCGGTCGGACGAATGTTGAAGGCTGAGATTGGCAAGCACCAAGGCATCCACACCGTGACCTGTTTGGCAGACCTCACCTGCTTCTATGACACGGTACAGCTTGACCACCTCATCGAACCAGCCGAAGAACTCCATTATCCACCGCTGCACTTGAAGCTTGCGCTTGACCTCTACACTGGCCCCAGGCTCATCCAAGCAGAAGGCATTGCTGGCAATCCCACCTACTATGAGAAAGGCATCCTTCAGGGTTGTCCTCAAGCTCCTGCGATCGCCAAATTGGTCCTCTTTCGGCCTCTCCGAGACCTGGTCCAAACTCACCCGGCCGTTCAGCTTCAAACATGGGTGGACGATGTCTCCTATGACATCAAGGGCCGTGATCCTGACTATGTCGCCCGTGAAGCCATTTTGGCCTTCCGTACCCTGAAGCAACGTCTGGAGCAAGCTGGACTCAAGATCAACTCTGACAAAACCGGGTTCATCACCAGCAGCAAGGAGGCCGCCAAAGCCCTGGACATCAACCTGCAACCAGGGGACCCTCAGCACCACAATGTCCTCCGAGACCTTGGCATTGACGCCACGAACGCCAAAAGGAGACGGGTCGCACAGATCAAGAAGCGATACCTCAAGGGCAGAGGCAGGGCTGGGATCATGATGCGCCTCAAGCTCAATCCCAGCATCAAATACAGGCTGCACCGGGGGGGCGATTCATCCAGTGATGACCTGGGGCGCTCAGGCCAATGGGCTGGCCCCTCAAAGAAGACAACAAATACGAGTTATGGCTGCCCGGGGCCTTCGCCTTCAGCGTTCTGGCTCTGTTGATGTCGTTTTTGACATGCATCCCAACAAACCTGACCCTGGTGACTCAATCATCCTCCAGCACATCCACACGGTCTGGAAGATTTTCCATGCCTTCGATGACAGCGCCCAGCACCTCTTTTGGATCAGCTGGAATTCAGCTTTGGACATCCTCCTCAAAGCCAAATACAGGTGGCAAGTAGTGACTGGTCCTCTCCAAGCCCTACAAGCCTACCTCCTTGACTATGACTTCGACATTTCCAATGGCAAATTGTGGAAGAGAACCGGCTATGGAGGCATTCCCGACTGTCACCTATGCCTGACGGATGGTTGGCCTGAGATTCATCAGAAGCTCCAAGAGGAATTTCGCTGGCAACGACTCCTGCGCCTGACGAGGCATGTGGGTTGCCACGATTTGGAACGTCCTTTGGATTGGACGGTCAGCAACACGCTCCAGAAGATCTCCACTGAGCGCTTCAACTCTGCCTTGAGAGCCTTCCACCAAGGCACTTTCCGTGGACAGACCGGCAAGTGTCCACTGTGCGGTGTTGAGCTCACCTTCATCCACCTTCTCTGGGAGTGCACCTTTTGGGATGGTAAAGTCCCTGCCCTTCCTGACCAGTGGCGGGAGCGACTTCAAGCTGGCACAGAACCTGAACTGTGGAACCGAGGCATGACTCAGTCCATCTTCTACATCAAAGATGGGGGAATGGCAACCTTCAATGGAGAAGGGCTCTGGGAAGCTTTGGAGGCGTGCCACCTCCCTCCTGGGCATGCTGTCTCTC